GATGACTCGTTCATCATTTTCAAATTCTAAAAGTCAGATTCCTATGAGTTCTGTAAATGCTAAGTCTCGTTGCATGTGATTAAAAACTCTACAATGTGGCATGGAATGTAGAGATTATCAACTAAACAGTTTTGCTTTGATTGTCCAGAGACTTTGTTCTTAGAAATTTCTATCCAACACTTTTTTAGGTCACTTACATGGCAAAAAAAAAAAAAAAAACTAACGAATTTGAGTTTCTCACAGTTGATGAATTCTAAACTTCCTTTATGGTAGGAAAGTTCAAATTCAAGGGAAGTGTAAAGGATAAGCGAAACTGTATCTATAGAAGATCTTAAATCTACCACCGCCTGGTTAGCTCAAGTGGTAGAGCGCCGGACTGCCGTGCGGGAGGTCGAAGGTCGAGTCCCAGACCGTGGATAGGGGATAGGGAAAGGTAATCTACCTAGTAAGGGATAACCTTTTCCTACTGTTAATTTACATGCCTTTGACAAATTTTTAAATACAAATACGAATGTAACACTTTGCTTAACGTTTCACTAACGAAAAGAATTGTTTTTGAGGATTCACATGTTAAATGAATGAATTATCGCAGTCTTTGCTTTAAAATGCTGCCCAGCCGGTAAAACAAGATGTATTTGTAAAATAAATTGCAACAAGGCTAGAAAGTTTCTGCAAAGCGACTCAACACGAAACGGATAGCCATGAGAGCGGGCCGGATAAGAGAAAATTGCCTGCTCTCGGAACCAATCAGATTGCAGGAATTGTAATACCGCCCGCTCACGAACTGAGAAAAAAAAATAACACAACATTTTTAGGAACCTCTTCATGTTGTCCTTCAGCAGCATTGTTAAAATATATACAGACTAATCGATTGAGGCCTCGCGCTGCTGTAAAAAATAAAATGTTTTTTAAAAATCCGAGCTTTCGCCGATCAACGGCATCATCAGGGATAAGAAAATAATCCGGGCACCCTATATACATGTAAAGAGAGTGTGTGGTGAAATGTTTTTTTACGGACGAATTTTCATTATTGAGATGCTCCTCTATGCGGTCGGGGATGAAGCGTGTCGTGATGCCAACACCTACCCAAAAAATACGCCGAATGTCAGCCAAGACAGTCAAAAATAAAGTTGACACAGCCTGGAAGAAGATCTGCCTACAAAATAAAATTCCTCTCTTTGTCCAAGAAAGCTTCCTTGTGTTGAACACAGAACTGCCCAGATTCTACCATCTAGTCAAGACCCACTAAGCAGGCCCCGATATCAAAATACGACCTATCGTATCCAACATCAATGGACCCACCCAAGGCATTTCATGGCTTCTTGCTAAGCTCTCAAATCGATGCTAAAAAATGTCCCAGCCTATTTAGAAAGCAGTCTCGAACTTATTAGATGTATCCAAGCCGGCGATCTCACCATAAACGAAGCGCTACCATATCCATGCAGCCTCGATTTAGTATCCCTATACACCACAATACCAATACAAGAAGCCATCACCAACGCTACAGATAGAATCCAGAACCCAACACTCCACCTCTCCAACAAGACATCTCAGACCTCCTCCAAGTCACGCTAAATAACATGTACTTCTGGTTCAGAGATCGAGTTTTTCGCCAAAGAAAAGGCCTACCCACGGGCTCTAACATCTCAGGTATACTGGCCATCCTGTTTATGGGCAAACTAGAAACCATCGCCCTCACCTCAAACCTAATGATAAGCCCTTACAAGAGATATGTTGACGACATTTATCTCCAAACAACCGATGAAGAAACAGCAGACCACTTCTACAATATAATAAGTAATGTACACCCTAATTTAAAATTTGAAATTGAAAAGCCAGAAACAACACCTAGTGGCATGTCACAATCATTACTCGATTTCAAAGTCACCATATCCGAGGATGGCAACAGCTCCTTCGAATTCTACAGAAAACCAGCTAAGAAACCACTATTCGTCCACCATCAATCAGCTATCCCAACCAAATCCAAACTCTACTTCATCCGCAACGAGCGAAAAAGCATCGCGGACAGATGCTCCTCGCATATACCTGCAACACAACACCTAAACACATTCGACGACATCCTTCGCCTCAACGATTACCCAGAGAACAGCATAGAAGAATCAAAACGCCCACAACAGCCCCAAAGAAACACTCAACCTGCCAACACGGAATGATCCTACCTCAAGATCCCATACATTTCTGAACGCCTCAATCACAGAATCACTAACATCTTCAGAAAAGAAAACATCCCAGTGCGCATCTCTCACTAGTCCTACACACTCAGACAGACCCTATCCAACACCGCCAAAGTAGGCAAATGCACCAGGGACAAGTGCCCCATCTCTAACACCGGATTATGTTTACGACGAAATGCAGTATACCGGCTCACATGTAACAGCTGCAATCAACATTACATTGGTAGCACGACATGCTTCACCCACGACCGCATAAAAGAACATCTCAACAGTGTTAATTCGTCTGTGAAAAAACGCGTCTATTCCTGCCAGAACAAAGATCATAAAGACATTGATGTCAAGATTATTGAGCGAAAACGATCCCGCTAATCTACGCCTTTATGAAGCATTTTACACTAGAAAGTACAAGCCTACACTCAATTCCAGGGAAGAATGTAATGAATTCGCAGACCTTCTATTTTAGTATCCCATTCTCTAGACCATTTTAATTAACGCTTTTATAGGCCCTTTGTTTATAAACGGTTCATCAGTAGAGCCTTATGTTCCACTCACAGTTCATTTCCACAGCTTCCATACATGGTCACACCTTTTACACATTTCACCTCACACTCTCTTTCCACACACATAGCGCGCCTGGAATATTTTCTCATCCCTGATGATGCCGTTGATCGGCGAAAGCTCGGATTTTTATAAAACATTTTACTTTTAACAGCAGTGTAAGGCTTCATTCGATTAGTTTGTATATATTGCAGCATTTTATATTTTATTTTTTTCTCACTTCTTGAGCGGGTGGTACTTTTCAAATCCGGCGATCTGATTGGTTCCGAGAGCAGGCAGTATTCTTCCATCCTGCCCCCTCACACCGGGCGGTATCCGTTTCGCTTGAGTCACTTTGCAGAACATATCAAGCCTCGTTGCAACTTTTCATAAGTATTTCTCATTTTGCAGGCTGGGCAGAATTTTTGTGCAAAGACTTCGGTCACGACCTTTTGGTGATAAATAACATTAATTCTTTCTTCTCTCTCGTTCTCAAATCACTTTGGTTTTTCCGCAAAAATTTATTTCGAAATAAATTTTGTCGTACTAAATTTCTTTTTAAGAAGATTTTAACGCGGCCTCAAAACAATTTGTTATCTAATAATCCTTCACAAAAAGTAACTAAAAAAGTTAAAACGAGAGGTAATTGCAGTTGGCAATGACGTTAATCAATGGGACTCTCATTCGTTAATATCTGAATTCTTCAAGACGATTTGTTCGTTTGTGAAACATTTGAGCAAAGTTTTTTAGTTCCTCTATGAATACACGTTCGCCTACTCTTTGCAAGTCCTTTGAATTTGGACATTTCTACCGTAAATTTCACAACAGCAACCGAAGGAATTCGATGAATAAAAGCCGCATTTAATCCCCTTGCGTCTAGCTGGAAAGAGTCCCACTGACTTCAGCTTTTCGGTGAAAGAAAAATTGATTTACACACACCATTGCAGGAAACGAAGAAGCAGACTGACAACTTAAAAACACATATTTGTAGTCACAATTTGACTTTCCATGATATTTTAAAACGGAACGGAGGTAAATCTTCGAGGATTAACCGTATTTGGAAATAAGCAATACTTTCCGCAAGGTCTGTGAGTTTCTTTTTTCTTTTGTGTTTTCTTTTATTTTTAAAAGGAGATCGTCGAGCTCGTGTGTGTTTGTCATACCAGTACTATTGTTTATTCAAAAGCACACATGCGCTTCTTTTCTCCTCAATTGACAGGTGTCACATCGGGACAGCTACTTATCAAAAATGTTTGCTCGGAAGCCTTCTAATTCGCCATTTTAAATAACAATTTTGCGGTGAAAGCCTCTTTAATTTGAACAACGTCTGTTTTCTTTATCATCCACTCGTCAAGAAATTGTCAAGTTTATGGAGGATTTTCCCGTATTCTCCTTTTTCACATTACCCAAAATACCTTGCGCTTTGGGGGGTAACTTTGGAGCCCGAGTTACAAGCAAAATGCTGGCTCCAACTAAACAAACGGGTTTAAAGCTACCAAATTGTTATAGAGATTCTTCTAAACCCACGAAACCAAAGCTTAAGGAAGTTTGTAGAGCCCTCTCTGCAGATTTTAAGAAAAATATCGGGAAGAAAGCGCTCGTAAACATTGTTTGCAACGCTTTAAATCTGTCAACATCATCCACGACCGCTACAAAGACCGAGAATCAGTCAGCTTGCTGGACTTTACCAACCATAGCTTATCTACAGAAGCAAAAAGAATGGAAGAAAGACTTAACAGGCATACCAATGCTCATGGATGAGTCAATGGTCAAGTCATATTTAATTGGAGTTGGTTATGAAGAGCAAACTGTGCGAAAGTATAAGACACTTCGTGCATGGGAGCACAAGCAAGATGTACATTCTGTCAAGTAAGTCTGTGTTTTATGTTTGATTATAAAACATTGCAACTACACTTCAAGT